TATAGGGACATTCCATCTCGATTGGATTGCATTTTTTACTTTGTATGATTCTCGCTACCAGCACCAAATGAGATACCAAACGAGGTTTTTCGGTGTCAGGTGGCAATTATATCAATAGGCTCTTTAAATACGGCCTTGAATCCCGTTGAGGCTGTCGATGAGATACGGAATAAGATCCACTGATTTTATGAGGGCTCCTACCTTTAAGTAACTTGAGAAGGCCAGTTTTTTAGGAAATATCCACTTATGATTTATAAGCCTACTTATATCGGCGTGAGTAGTCTGCATCAGTTACCTATGTATAAGGCAATGTACTCCTGAAAAGTCCACCATTTCCGGTATAGATTTCGTTGTTCTTGTCTAACATGCCCTATTGCATACTCTAATTAATTTTTTACCGAAAGTATTTAATGATTGCGCAAGCGACTACGATAGGGTCTCTGTGGGCTGGGTCGTTCAGGCTAATGTGGTGCTGGTTGGAATGTGCTGAGATTTTTTCGGTCTATTGTCTGGCCAGATACAGCTTTTGTGAAGAAATCGGATGTCTGGAATACTGCAGACGCAGAGCACAAGAGATTAGCCTTTGAATAAGTCCTTTATCGTACACTTTCGCGAGAAGTGAAGATTAGCCTAACACTTTTGCATCGGAGGCTTTGTTGAAGGCCGGTATGTATCTCTTGTGGTGCATATACCTCCTGTTAAGGTTACTTGAAGGGACTTGTCGTGGCCACCTCCATTCCCAAGTTAAAGGCTGCTGGAGCGCTGGGCTTGAGAGTTCCCACTACTCGTCACTAATGGTGCCAACCGACATGCGTGTACAATCTCGAAGTAGACCTGTCGGAATAGGACAAACAAGACATGCATTGTGATTGAGTGTATTTCGGGGTGTAGGCAGAAAAGCAATAATAAAATGGTATTTTAGACAGAAATTGAGGTATTGTGTGTACAAAGGAGAGTTGGATTTGTGGCAATCGCTTGGTTTGCCCAGATGGGCTCACTTCCGTTTCGTATAAAAAGAGTGTGTGAGTGTGTGCATGGGTGGGTGGAGGGCACCAGAAGAGTTCACGGCTCCACTGAGCCAGTCTGGTTGACGTCGTCTCCAAGGCACGTCTCTGTGGCGTGGGTCGGAGAAGACGTCGACGTCGTCTTTCGATGGACCTAAACTGGAAGGCTCTTCATCAAGTCCACTTTAGCTCGAACTGGAAATGGGCTCCACGGTTAAGGTGTTCCCGTCGAGCTGAAGAGGAACTGGTGCCATTCACGAACAACAGGGACACAGACGTTTCTTCACCATCATCCAAAAAAGCTGCGTCTTCACCGAGACTGTGATGCAACCACACACCTTCTTCTGAGTGGGTAGATCGGCCATGTCGGGCTGGCTGGCTGGACGGCTGGCTTGTCGAAGAGTGCAGAAACGGAGGAGGCTGGTCGGACTGGGGCTTGGTGACGCGATGAACTGGTCTCTGCAGTGGAAGTTGGCGTTAAATAGTGCCGTTGTCTTGGCAGTTTATGTCTGGCGCCGAGGCAGTCTGGCTGCCTGGTTGGTCGGACTGTTGCAGACGCACACGTACACACGCCTGGCCCACATGTTGACATGACGACTGGTCGACTGCGGCTCCACGTTTTCGCGTCGAAGAGGTGACGCGGCCTGGCGACAGCCGGTGCAGAGATGCGGTTCTCCAAGGCGGCTGGCCTCCTGCCTTGGAGACTTCAAAGGAGGGGGAGGGGGCAGCGGCGACGCTGCGCCAGGGTGAGGGGGTAGCATGGAGACAGAACAACGCGTCTGCCGGTGGGTTCTCGGGTTAGAGACAACTCCGGCAAGAAGCGGGCCTGTTTTCACACCAAATCTCTCTTTCCATCCTCGCACATCTACCGAGCTTGTCACATGCACTACCGAAGCCAAGGCTCGCTTTGTAAGTCTGTCTCTTTTATCATTCGGTCGTTCGTTCGGTCGGTCGGTAGGTCGGTCGGTAGGTCGGTCTGGAAGACGGTCGGGGTACTCGTCGAACAGTCTTTCGATCGGTTGACCAGTCAGTCTTGTGACGTGACTGTGAGGTTTGAAGACAAGTTTGTTTGGAAGCAACTCATGGCATCGTTCCAGCGGAAACGGAAGAAGGAATGCCACGGAATGAAGACTGTCGTATTGTGCGAAGAAGTCCTGTCCTTCCAAGCTATCGTCTGTAGAAGTTGTTTGATCTTGTTTTCGCAACTTGGTCATATTGGTGGGAAGACTTAGAGGAACACACCTTGTCCTGAGTCCATTGTA